ATCAAAATACAGACAAATCAAAATACAGACAAATCAAAATCCAGACAAATCAAAATACAGACAAATCAAAATACTTGTCTGTATTTTGATTTGTCTGTATTTTGATTTGCCGGTATTTTGATTTGTCTGTATTTTGATTTTTCTGCATTTTTGAATTTTGTCTGTATTTTGATATGTCTGGATTTTGAATTTCCGGATTATGAATGTAACCGATAAGTTTTATCAGTGGCAATATTTGTGTGTCATCTTGATAAAATCATTTGTTAGATGGCGTATAACAAGTATGTTCGTTGCATTGGAGCACAAATATGCTTAAAAAATTAGAAAATGTGTTATTTCACACCCAAGTACATAATCAAAAATAACGCAGGTTCAGCGGAGGATCCAGACTTTTTTTTATGTTTTCCGGGAATTTTGCCACTTATTCTTATTACTGTAAACGATTTATTCTTGTATATATGTATATATTAGGGTGATCCAAAATAACTAGCCTGGCGAATTTATAGCCTTAAAATGACATATTTACTGAGAAGGAAATTCTCCCATTTGGAAAAATTTTTATTTCAATTTTAAAAGGTGTCAGTGGGCATTTGAGATTTTCTATGTAAAAAACATGTAAAATAATTTGTTTTCTGTAAAAATGTTATAACTTTTGACCCGTTATAAAAAAGAGATAAACAGTTTTTCTATGCATATTCTTATAGGGCATTAAATTTTCTAAAAAATTACCCTGAAATTGGTTGTCTTAGGGACGATTAAAAGTATTAAATATGTTAATGATATTACTGAACGAGGTTAGCATTGGTACAAAATTATAATCGAGCTTTGACGAAAGACGAAGAACGAAAGAAATTTCTTTTGCAAGTAATTCAATTACCATTAAATGATTTAACAAGTAATTTTTAAGCAATAAATACAACCGACTTCAATTCTCATATAAAAATTTTGGAGTACCGTAAATTTTTTCATGATCCAATGGTCGGATCTAAACCAAATCAGTATGGGACCACCTTAAGCAGTAACATACAAAAAAGAAAATATTCTGACGAATTGATAACCTTCTCCTCTTTTTGAAGTCGCCTAAAAATAAATGGTCAAAACTTGTTATTATAATTATGCAACGCAGTGTACTATTAACTTATTTGACTTGTGTTTAGAGAAACTTTGAATTGTTAGTTTATTCGTTATTTATGTGTTAAAATAAAAAAAAAATGTTTGTGTTTTCAATGTGGAGAATTTGTCCTCCTGGAATATTAAGAGATTCTGGTCACCTTAATTACACACTCCGTATTCATACGTACATGTGTATATACAGTATTGGGCATATCTATAGCACCCCCATTTCAAAGTGCTATTGTTTGCCACTTATGTTAAATCAATTATTTTTAAGAATTTTCAATTAAAATACAGCTCATTCTCTAACAAAACTAATATAAAACCAACTTTAAAACTTTTTAAAAGACTATAAAAAACGCAACAAATTTTAACCCAACTTTCAAACTTTTTTCTCAAAAGTGTTAGAATTTTTTGGAGTACGCAGTTTTATAGCCCATTCAATTTCAGTCTAATAATGGGCAAGTTTCAAGTCGCTAAAAATTACCGTTGATTTTTTAGAATTTTTTTTTGTCCCATTTGCTATGAAGATACACAAAATCCAAAAATTTATAATAATCTAATTTTCTGCTATGTGGTTATTGCGATAATCGAATGGGTCAATTAGCTTAAGCTGTTTTATCGCAATTTTCGTGTCCCGGTAAATTTCCGTTATATGGGAGGTGGGTGTGGTTATTGCCCGATTTCAAAGATTTTTAACAAATTTCTTAGTTAGCCTAAGCAAGGTTCGTACCAAATTCAAAACGTCAGTTGAAGTGAGAGGATGCAATAAGCAGAGCTTAGTTAAAACAATTAAATTTAAAGTGAATAAAGGCAGTTAAAAACTTAGAAAACCACAAAAACATAAAAACTCAAGTGCCTCCTTTTGTTAAAGTGATTTGTGCACCACTTTTTTTTTCTTGTTTGTTAGTTTGCAAACACAAAAGAAATTACAATTTTGGTTAAACAAGTAACACTACGAAAGACGGCGATATAAAAGTAAGAAATGGCGCCAAAAACAAGAACAAATAAAAAACATAATAACAAAGAAAAAGATTTAACTTCAAGCGATTCCAGCGACAACGAAACTTCTTCTGTCAACTTAACTACAATAATAGATAAGCTAAACAAAGAGTTTAAAGTGCAGGAGAGGGCGTTGAAAAAAATAAGAGAGTCCCAAGACCACATAAGTGATGGCTTTAATGCACTTAAGAAAGAGATCGATCGATTAACAGAAGAAAATAAACAAATTAAAAAAGAAATGAAAGAGATTAAAACGAATGGAGAAAATGTGAAACTGAAAATGAAAACATTAGAACGTAATATGATGGAGATAAAACAAGAAAAAAACAAAAACAATTTAATAATAACTAATCTACCACAAGTAAAAGACATAGACTTAAAACCGGTCATCATGAAAATTGCCGAGCAAGTTAATGCCAATATAAGCAATGATAGCATTGTAGATGTGTTACAAAATGAAAACAAGAAATTTAGAACACATCCCATAATTGTGAAAATGAAATGCGATGAGTTAAAAACCAAATGCTTTGAATTTAGAAAGAAAGGTGGGCAGATAGATGTAAGCAAAATACTTACCGATATTGATATGAAAGGAAAACATGTAAACTTTCATCAGCTGATGGAGAAAGAGCTTAGCGATCTCATGAAGAAGGTGAAATCAGAAGCAAACAAAAAAAGCTACAAATACGTGTGGGTGAAGGATGCGAAAGTCTTTGTAAGAAAAGACAACAACACTGCTGCTATACTAATTAAAGAAATTGATGATATGAGAAAACTTGAGTAATTAGCTACTTAAGTATATATATATTTTTTTCTATAATCATGGAAGCTGTTAATGCAGCACTTGATATTAATGTGAAATATGAGTTAAATAAATTGATTTTTAGCAATAATTATAAAAATATTAATATAATGTATCTAAATATTCAAAGTATTAGAAATAAGTTGAATGACCTTGATATGCTGATACAACAAAATACGATAGAGGGTAGAACTGTTCATGTAGTTGCGGTAAGCGAAATTTGGATATACGAAAATGAAAATATGTATTTCAATTTGAAAGATTATACTGCTTATTTTGCAAATCGTATTTCAAATAGAGCAGGAGGGTGCGCAATTTTCGTACACAAAACAGTTCCATCTTCTCTCGTATCTGTAATTGAATATGAAGGAAGTAGCTTTTTGACAGTAAAATTAATTAAAGCAAATATGCACATCTCGTGCGTCTATAGATTCTGTGCGTCTGATATCAGCCTCTTTGTTGACAAATTAGAGAACGAAGTATTAAAATATAAGAGATCCATAATTGTTGGTGATTATAATTTAAACCTTTTAACTTCAAATATATATATAAACAACTATATTAATATGGTACTCAGTAGTGGGTTTCTTTTTCTTAACAGTTTGAGCAGAGAGATGTATACACGAAGAGGAAGCGATTCCAAAACCATCATTGATCATGCTCTGACGGATTTAGTTGAATTTTCATACACTCTATCGTTAGATGACAATGAAATTTCTGATCATAGACTCCTAGCTTTAACTTTTAATAACAATGTACTAAATAAAGAACCTCTCAAGAGTGAAATACAAGTTTTTGATTACGCATTATTCGAAGAAAATAATCATATATACAATTTATTAGAACAACCTCACTTTTCGGGATTTCATACACAGCTATGTAGTAGTATTGAAAAATGCACTAGGCGTATTAAAAAAACCAATAAAAATGTTAAGAAGCCATGGTTAAATAACGAAATTTTAGCCGTAATCAAAGAAAAAAACAAATATTATAAATTAAAAAAGAGATATATTAATAACTTATATTTTGAAAATAAGTTTAGGTATTTTAAAATTCAAGCACGTAATAAAATTAATAATGCGCGAAGGCAATTTTATGGTAGACAAATTGAAGATAATATCCAATCCAGTGCCAAGACGTGGAGAGTTTTAAATCAGCTTATATATGGACAAACTAATGTATCGCCCCTAGCTATCACGCAAATAGATTATAATGATAAAGTTCTTACAACACCAATGGAAATAGCAGACGCTTTTAATCATTATTTTATACATATTATAAAAACGCCAGAAAATTTTGAGTACTCCCCTGAGCCTGTAGATGGCATAACACATCCTTTTGTCTTAAGTCAGTGTGATTTCGAAGAGGTAAGAGATGCAATCAGTACCCTTAACCCAAAGTCGGCCAATGGTCCGGATGGTATTTCTGTCAGATTGGTACAAAAATATAAAGAAGAATTATCTGAGCTGTTATCAAAGTTCATTAACGACTGTTTTAAAAGTGGTCAGTATCCAGAAGAGTTGAAAATCGGATCCGTAGTTCCAATTTACAAGAGTGGAAATAAGGAGGTCTGCTCAAACTATAGGCCAATAACGAAATTGAGTACGATTGATAAGGTATTTGAAACTATTTTATTAAATAGATTAAAACAATTTATTATAACTAATGAAATAATCAGCGATAATCAGTTTGGATTCACGGAAAAATCTAGCACGCTATCTGCTTGTATCAATTGCACAGAGTTTATTTATGAAAATTTAGATAAAAAAAAGTATGTTGGTATGTTGGCAATTGATCTCAGCAAAGCCTTTGACTCAGTGAATCTTCCCATCATGATAGAAAAACTAAGGGAGTTGGGAGTTGATGGCATTGCAATTAAACTCTTTGAAAGCTTTCTCATTGACAGAAAACAATATGTAGAAATCAAAAACTGTAAAAGCTCAATCAAAACCATTAGAACAGGTGTTCCACAAGGATCCAAATTGGCAGCCACCTTATTTTTAATATATATTAATAACATTTTAAAGCTTAATTTAAAGGGTATGCCGCAATTCTATGCTGACGACGGAACTTTCCTGTATGCTACTAATAGTCTTGATGAGCTTTTAACTTATATACAAGAGGATCTAAATATTATATCCCAATGGTTCGAAAGAAATTTATTGAAAATGAATTTAGCCAAAACCAATTTCATAATTTTTAACAATTACAGGGACATCCCTAGTATTCATGATCTAAAAGGAGTTCATCTAGATGGTAGTTTTATATCGAGGGTAGATACATTAAAATACCTTGGCATTTGGTTTGACGCCAATTTAAACTGGCGAGAACACATAAACAGAATTAAAATGAAACTATTACCGCTAAATTTCGCTATTTATAGAAATCGTAAAGTGATTCCACAAAAACAATTATGGCTTCTATACAACTCTCTGTTCATGTCCAAAATACATTATTTAAACCCTATATGGAATAACTGCTCTGAGCAACTTACAAATGAAATTCAGAGAATACAAAATAAAGTTATAAAAAATATTTTGCATTTGCCTAGAGGAACGGCAAGCGAGCTCTTATATCAAAATAGGTTGGATATTCGTAAATATGCTATATTGCAAACATTAGAAGCATTTTACAAAGTTAAAAATAATTTAATAAAACATAATTTATCTATTCCAGAGGAGCCAAACCTCGAATACGCGCTACGAACTAGGTCGAACATCAGACCGCGATTCTTTCGAACGGAAAGAAGTGCGAAATCCTTGAGGCACTATGGTAAAAAATTATTTAATAAGCTTCCCGACGAAATAAAAAATGCTAGAAATCTCCAATGCTTTAAAACGAAAGTCAAACAGCTACTTCTTAATAATTTTAATTTCAATATATAAATTTAATATGTCAACTTCTTTGTTATGAGTATCACCGAAACCTGGATTGGAGCGTTGAGCGCTTTTTGATCGCGCTGTCTCCTTTTAACATATACTATTTTGTTAGGTTAGAGGGATTCAGCGTGATCAAGAAGCGCTCAGCGCTCCCATTTAGGTTCGGATGTATTTAAAACGTTATTTGGCTTATACTTAGGTAATTATAATTTAATATTACTTTATATTGTCTAACTTATCCCTTTTAATTTTTTTTCTTCCAATTTATTCTTTTATTAATTTTTTTTTTTCATTTTATTGTAGTAATCTACTCTCACCACAATTGATGGCAAACATTTTTTAAAAAACAATTAAGCTATCTTCTCGTACAAAAACAAGTTTTTTTTGAGAAAATCTGTATTAATCTGAATCGTGTTATCAATAAAGACATAAAAAAAAAAAAAAAAAAAAAAAAAAAAAAAAAAAAAAATTTGGTTAGGTTTGGTGAAGCGGCTACTGAGATATAGTATTTCATCATAAGTGAGCGGGGTTACGCCCATTTTCCAAAAAATTCATAATAGTACTAGCAGACCCGGCAAACTTTGTCCCCCCAAAATAAATTTTTTATATTGAAACATTTTGGTCCAGCATTTTCACCAGCAGTTCACGTTCATGATTTTCAGTGATGCATTTATCTTCTAATATTACGGTTTGGTGGTTGTCAGAAGGCATATTTCCATTGCCGTCTTAAATAACATAGCAAAAGTGTACATGCATACAAAGTAGGGTTGCCAGATTTTTTTAGCGCGAAATCAGTACATTAGACTTTTTCATGCTAAAAAAAATCAGTACTTTTCAGTACACTTTTATTCCAAGCAGAATTACAAATGTAAGTAGTAGATAATACTTTGAAACGCCATAGTACTTGTTTTTAATAATATCTTGGTATGGGTAAGGCTTCCTCAAGTGGGCCCCGAATTTACCAAGATTATACTATTATTTACCAAGAAAAGCAAAAAAAAAATTTGTACCGCAAATAATTTCATTGTATAGTTTCTAGTTTAAAAAAAAATGTGCATTCGGACACTTACTTTCAAAGAAAAATAAAAATTTCCAAAACACTGCAAAAATGTTCAATTGTTGATTAAAAAGAAACTATTAGAATTTTGCAACAAAATTTACACAGTGTGCTTTTCGACTAAAAAACTCGGCGCTGCTTGAATATCATTGAAAAATATTAATCTTGGTAAATTCGAGGCCCACTTGAGGAAGCCCGTTTATAAATAAAATGTAGTTCATAAAAAATAAAAAATGTTGTTCATAAAAAATAAAAAATAAAATAAAATGAGTATGCACTAGAGCATGATAAAAAACATAGTAAGGTAAAACCGTCGTTCTCTCAATTCGTCGGCCATGATTTTTTTTTTGAAGTTTGCCAACATTTTAAGATCATATAAAATTGAGAGTAAAAAAAAGGAATTGTTCAAAGTTGTTGTTGTTTGAGATTGACAATGAGAATGTGTGTGAAAAGAAAAAAGTTTTCTTAGGGGTCGCGCTGGTCGGTTTTTTATAAAACTGCTGATGTTCTCAATTTTTTTAATTTCTTGACATGTTAAAATGCAGCTAAAAATGTGGTTTTTACATATAATTACTCTGGTAATATTGGGGAACTTTCCCTTAATTACACCCCTCTCTTGGACAATTAGAATGGGTCTAGTTCCCGAAAATATGCTCTCGAAAAGACACTAGTAAAATTAAACAGTTGATACTGAAGGATTTACGCATTGTCATGGGATGGAACTTGTTACCAGGGGGTTTCTGGGATCACTAATTAGGAATCTGAAGTCAGTTTTTTGAAATTCAAAATGGCGGATCCAAAATGGCGGTCCATTTTTGTAAAAATGATTGGATTTGTTCGAAACACGGCACTCGAGATTTGTTGGGGTCGCCGATTACGAATCTGAAGTCAATTTTTTTAAATTCAAAATGGCGGATCCAAAATGGCGGTCCATTTTTGTAAAAATGATTGGATTTGTTCGAAACACGGCACTCGAGATTTGTTGGGGTCGCCGATTACGAATCTGAAGTCAATTTTTTTAAATTCAAAATGGCGTATCCAATATA